CCAAGGCCTGTCGTAACAGGGGCGGGAGGGTGCGGACCAAGGCCTGTTGTAATAGGGGCAGGAGGCTGGGGTCCAAGGCCTGTCGTAACAGGGGCGGGAGGGTGCGGACCAAGGCCTGTTGTAACAGGTGCAGGAGGACTGGGCCCTAGTCCGGTAGGAAGCGGGGCTGGAGGTTCAGGGCCTCCTATCGGAAAGTCTGTAGGATTTGGCCCCAGTGGAGTCGGAGCGGTAGGCAGAATACCGAGAGGACTTTGCGTGAAAGGAGGATACTCAGTGATTCCAAGTCCTGGTGGAAAAACGCCGCCAGGAGGACCAACTTGTCCACCCACCGAGCCGCCAGGATGAACGGTACCAGGCGGATGGATTCCTGAGACTGGCGGACCTACTGGTCCCGGGAGGAGTGCACCGGGATATCCTCCCGTTCCGTACCCACCAGGTACGGGGTATCCTGTCCCTGTTGGATACACTCCCCCACCTGGCGGGTAGATTCCAGAACCTGTTGGATGAATTCCTGATCCTGTGGGGTACACTACTGTGCCGCCGGGACCCGGGTAGCCTCCGGGTCCTACTGGCGGGCCCACCGGAGGATACACGCCACCTCCTGGAGGAAACACTCCCCCGTGTTCGTCGATTCCGCCTGGGGGAAACACTCCCCCGTGTTCGTCGATTCCGCCTGGAGGGAACACTCCCCCGTGTTCGTCGATTCCGCCGGGAGGAAACACTCCCCCGAGTTCGTCAATTCCGCCGGGAGGAAACACTCCCGGTGGTATTTCTGGTGATGTGGTGTCTGGTTCATCTGTGACGGCGATTCCAGGGGGAAACACTCCCGGTGGATGGATTCCCGGAGGGTGAACACCCTCCGGGAATGGAGAAGGTGGTCGGATGGACGGTGGTTTCACCTCTTCCGTTTCGTCTTCGTCACAAAAACCGTCGCCATCTTCGTCATAGTATTTGTGATTCTGCCTTTTCAACTTCTCCTCGTACTTTTTCTTTCGATCGGCTATTTCATCTTCCTTGTCTTTATTCTTTGATGTGATTTTCTCGTTGATCTTTTTGATGACATTGTTTATGATTTCGCCCGGGTTATTCAGTCGTCGGGATTCTTGAGGGAACATCAGAGCACGTCCGCTTCCGAACCACCGATGACGACCGTGATGGTCATCAGGTGGTGCAGGCGCCGAACCATGCTCTTCAATCACCTCACCACCAGGATGTTCGTCATCATCGTCCTCTTCGTCCATTTCGACATACACTTCTTCGTGTTCTTCAGCACCAGGCGCACCATGTGGGTCAACTTCTTTCTTTTTCTTCAGGATGCATCTTTTCGGTTTGCATTTGAAGCCACGGCACTCGCCGCTCAAACACTGAACACTGCGGAAGCAAGAGTGATGCTTTTTCCTCTGTTTCCAACATGAGTTGCCCAGGAAACCGAGGCCACAATATTTGCCTTTCTTGCATCCATCTGTGTGGTTCGGTCTAGGACATCGGTCTATTCGTAATGTGATTCCAGAGCCGAAGATGCCCTCCATGCGATCAACCCAGGCGTCGGTGGGGGCGTTGAACGGGTCCCAGGCGGCCAGACCACCCTCCTCATCTGCCTCTTCCTCTGTGTAGGCTATGAACTCCACCGCGTTGGACTTGGCCGTCGTGTCCTTGGCCTTCGTCTTGTCATCGTGCCCGTCGTCCCCGTCGTGACTGTCGGCACCTTCGTGTGAGTCTTTGTCTGGTTCTTTCATGTCCCCGTGACCTCCCATTTCGCTGCTTCCTTCCATGTTACCGCCGTGACCACCTGATTCGGTCTCCTTCATGTCACTGTCTTTGTCTCCGTGTTCTTTGTCTTCTTCTTTGTCTTTGTCGTGACCATCACCCATGTCTGTATCGTCATCGTTGTCATAGTCATAATACTCCTCAAAAGTCTCATCGTCAAGGTTGAGTGCATCAAGGTCATAGTCATAATCGTCTTTGGCGCCAGCGAACCAATCTCTGATGTTCCTCGCCCACTCGAATGAAGGCCATGGAAAGCTGGGTCGTCTCCATGTAATTTTTGGAAATGTGTACACACTCACTTGAATGCCAGAACCATTTTGAGCGGCTTGTACCTTTTTCAGACCCTCTTCGATTTTTTCATGACCCTTTTCCACTTTTTTATGTCCAAGATTGGATATCCGTTGGCCTCTTCTCAAAGCTTTTAGGCCTTTACGAATTGCCTTCATCGCCTTCATCAGCTTGTGGCGCCCCTTTTTCATTTTCTTCTGTCCTTTATGTAACACATATTGACCCTTCGCGAGAGCCTCTTTGCCCCTCTCCACCTCTTTGAAGCCTTTTCTCACGGCCATCTTGGTGCGATTCTCGGCTCGCGTGCCGTGCTGAGAGCTGCCGTACTCCTCGGTGGCAGTCCAGTCGGGATTCCACTCCAGTCTAGGAACCTCAGGAAGACGCAAACCGGGAAACGATGGCCAGGATGGTGCTGGCGGGAGAGTCGGGATCGTCGGCATTGGGGGGAGGGTGGGCAGGGTTGGTATCATCCAGTCGATAGGCGGCATGGTTGGAAAACCCCAGTCCTCGGGTGGGGACCAGCCGTATCGGGCTTTCCGCCTGGCAACTCCGAACCGTGGTGAGGGAGTTGTCGTCGCCATCGGATCACTGTTTTGATGTGAAGTGGTTGGTGGACCTGTTGAAGATTCAGACGTTCGTGTTGGTGAGTTTTTGCTTTGTGTCTCATCTTCTGTCGTATTTGCTGGTGGGATTGGTGGTGAAGGCGACCTCGGTGAAAACTCTGACGCATTGACGGTAACGTCACCAGTTTCCATAGGTGAAGAAGATGGTGCGCCATTTGACGCAAACCTTTCTTCAGTCACCACTGGGCTTAAACGAGTCCTTGTCGGCACTGCACTAACTGTCGCACCAAACGTAACCACCAACACCACTGTCACCAACACAATCGTCCACCGCTGCACCACGGGTGACAGTCTCAACGTTCGAGACACCGCCTTGGGTATAACCCGAGGCATCACTTTGGGCACTACCCACTGCCTGACTCCAGAGATCACCCGGGAGCCATGCTGCACCAACCGCGATTCTTTTGTCACCATCTCACATCACGGGGCGCTCAGTTCACCACTCCTGAGGAGACGACCACGACTCCTCGCTGTGGTCGTCGGTAGACTGCTGAGAGAGCTCCCATCTCGGCTGGATCCTATCCGACATGCTGGCAGCCGCGCCGAAAGCGGTCCGGCGGGTCGTCGGTGAGAGGAAAGTGACCCGAACGGGTCGGACCGGTCACTCGCGGAGAGCTGGAACGGTGCGGTTGCCGTGACTTACCGTCGTGATGCACGGTGGATGCCAGATAGAGATGATGAATTTGTGTTTTGTGTTTGTGGTTGCTAGGATTAGGAATTTGTCATTGTTGTGATTTTTGATGGAAGGGATACGTTTCTTTTAGAAGCAAAGCAGGCATATTCGACTTTACAGGAGGTTACGATCGTGAGGATCGTGTTTTGTTATTTGCTCTTTCTTATTTTTCGTATGATTTATGGTAGAAATTCTAATTGTCTGTAACAAGATGCCTAACCCGCGCGACATTTTCTTCGCAGAACAAGTTTGCACCTCGATGCGCCTCAGCTTTCCTCTGTCTGTTGAATAAAAACTGTTGAAAAACAATTTAAACTGGGTCGCAAATAATCCTCTTATGACTGTAATGAGCATCAAGATAATCTGAGAGAATAGACCTGTTCCTTTTTTTCAATCAACGGCATCTCTCTCGACTCTCATCACTCTGTTCGCTGCCACGTCGACAGCCAGATTTAGCAAACCAGTTGTACAGAAAATGGCGCAGGGTCGCGAGGGACTCTCTCATCAGGCACCTCTGCAAAGAAAACCGGAAGAACAATACACCGTGACGTCACCTGACATGTGACTGGCCAGCGGCAGTTCCTGCATTGTAATTGCGATTTGGGGTCAAACCATATGACACTAAGCCGGGCTTTGACGTAGAACTGTAGGGATTATGTGCCAGTGAATACCTTTTAACCCACTTTATCACATATTGCTTTACAGATACCGAGAAGATAACATCGACACGGCTATTCAATCTGCGCATTGATCTTTGATGCAACAATAAGCTGCAGAAAGAAGTTGAAAATGACAGATCCTGTCATTTTCCCAATGCAAGTGATGTCGTCGAGTACTTTCTTCTGCGTTGCTATAAGCTCGCTGCCTTGGCGGGATACTGTGTTAGATAAAGCAGCAAAGGCAGAGAAAAAAATGACAAGCTCACGGCAAATAACAAGTTTGCATTAGCGTGAATCGTAAGGCAATGCTCCGCCTTGCTATGAACCGTTAGCAAGCAAGAACCATTCAAGTCATCGAATAAGCAGAAACATGGTCCGATTGTGGACCTCGCACTGGTCTGAAATACCGGTGACCTTCTAACCCGGACAAACCAAAGTCCTAAGCCCTTGGTTGGGTTAGGTATCTTAAACCTTTGATCTGCGAAGAAAATAGTTTCCGGCTTCCGCAATATTTCGAGGGACCAGGGCCCAATCGTACCAAATGCCGTTTGGTAAGACTGGGCCCAGGACTGATGTGAGACTTGAATTGTAGCATTGGGAAGAGCTACATAGAGTGTACACAACTCACGTGATTTTTTTTTTAAGATATGAGGCCGTTTTTTCATGTCTTTTTATGATCACGACATAAACAAAGGCAGCATAAGAAAATATGCACCGGAAGGGCGGCTGCGGCACATACTGAGATACTTGTTGAGATACATTGCCTTTGACGTGTGCAGTGTGCACCTACATTTCTACTGACCTGTGTGCTACCCATGGGTGTTCACTTTTTCTTTCTTTCTTTCTTTTTGACCCTGTTCTGATTCAGGTGGTGTGCTTGTTTCAGCCGAGGCAGGAGATCTCATTGGCTGGAAGGCAGGTGACGTAGTGTGACTGATAGCGCCATCGTCCATCGCCGTTAATCAAACTGCAACTCAAAATAAAATTGGATCGAACTAAAAGGTTTATTGCAGCCTCGATGTGGAGATGGTCAATACTGATGACCAATGACCGTAAAAACTGTCAAAAAACCACACACACACACAACAACATTCGGTCAGATTCAGTCGCAACACATAAACAGGATAACACATACAAAATGACTAGATCAAGACATTGATGATTAAATGAGGATATGAAACAATCATGGACAAACAAAACCAAGTTCAATAAACAAATTAAAGATCAAACAGGCACCTACTTCGTCCGGGTATAATGGGGTCGTGCTCCAATCAGCTGTTAGGCGCGTCTGCTCGTCAGTCGTCTCCAATAAGTACAAATGAGACCAATGATAGCGAGACCAATGATAGCGCCAACCTCAACGTGAGTGACGTCACACCGATGCCTTCAGTTCAATGGCTGGAGAAAAAATAAGTAGCAATTAGTAATCCACATCCATGCGTCGAGCAGCCACGGTCACACTCATCACAATCATGCAACATGCGCCTCATTCCATGGCACCAACATTCATCCCAGTACCGACAGAGCTTTGGCGGTAACATGGCTCCCCATTTTTTTGCCAAAAAAAAATCAAACCTTCTCGCGCGCGTCCCGCGCAAAGGCGATACATCAACACAAAAGGCTCCCTTGACGGGAATAAAGACCTCAGTTCTCCCGACAGCGATTCCACTCAGTCACCCGAACCGCAGAGTGGTAACACGCTCCGAACTGCACGATCTAGAGTCTAGCCCGTCTAGCCATTTGGACCTCGAACGTGCAACAATAAACACAATCGGCCAGCGGCACCGCAGCGCAGTACACTGCCTTACCCGCCACTACGTGTCTCGGCCACGAAATTCACAAAGTACGCAAGTGAGCAAAAGTCACGCCGTTCAGCCATGGCGCCAGCTCACCTAGCTAGCCACCGGGCAGTCAGCCTTCACTACGCGCCCACCATCGGTCGCGGCTCGCTCATGCACTGCAGTCCCTCACTGCCCTACTCGTCAGTTCTCAAGAGCAGTATGAGGCGGTGGATCGGTCGGTCATACTCCGACCGCCCGATCTTCACGCGCACCTTACGCACGAGTTCGTCGTCACTCGGATACACGCGCACAGCGCGTCCCATCGGCCACCGCCCCCTTGGGGCAGCATCGTCCACGACGATCACGACGTCACCGTCTCGGACGTTGGGTTCAGTTGCCTGCCACCGTCTCCGCTCCTGCAGAGAAGGCAGGAACTCTCTCCTCCAGCGTGTCCAGAAGAGGTTCGCCAGGAACTGCACGCGCCTCCAGCGATGTCTCGCGTACAGGTCCTCCTTGACGAATCGTCCCGGAAGAGAGCACACTACTTTCGACTTTAAGGTTAGTAGCTGCTGAGGAGTCAGGGGTTCGACCGTGTTAGTATCGGACATACTAGTGTAAGTAAGTGGCTGGCCGTTGATGATGGCTTCTGTCTCGACCATCACTGTGCGCAGCAGTTCGTCGTCCAGGCTGTGGCCGTGCGAGGCCAGGATGCTGCTGAACACCGCCCGTGCTGTCCGAATCGGTCGCTCCCAAACGCCTCCCATATGACTGGCGTGAGGGACATTGGCGTGGAACTCAACGAGGTCGCAGTCATCCTTCAGGAGCTCATCCTGGATCTTCTTGTGGTCAGTCTCCTTCAGGGCGGCTTCCAGAAGGCTCTTGCCGCCCATGAAGTTGGTTCCTTGATCGCAAAACAAGCGGCGTACCGGGCCTCTCCGCCCCACGAAGCGCCGGTATGCGTTCAAGAACGAGTCAGCCGATAGTGAGTTTGCTGTCTCCAAGTGGACACCTCGGGAGCTCAGGCACGTGAACATCACGCCCCATCGCTTCACATCGCTTCTCTTTTCCCGGATATAGAAAGGGCCGAAATAGTCCACTCCCGTGAACGTGAACGGCTCGGCACCTTCCACACGTTCTGCAGGGAGATCCGACATCTTTTGTACAGACGGCGTTCCTCTCAGACGGATGCATTTCACACACTTCAGGATGCATCGAGACACCGCAGACACCGAGACTTCCTCGTACTATCCAGTATCCTCGCTGTCTCACTTCACTCAGAGTTGTCTCTCGTCCGCAGTGCTCCATCTGGTCATGCACATGACGCACAACAAGGTCTGTCACATGTGAGCGATTGGGCAATATCACCGGATGAGCCACTTCGAAAGGCACATCTGCTCTCCGGAGTCGACCCCCAACTCGCAGCAGACCGTCGTTGTCGATGAACGGGTCCAGTCGGAACAACGAGCTCGTCTTCTTGACGCACCGCTTGATCCGTCCACTTCTTTCGTCTGTTGATTGAAGGGCCAAGTTCCGTCTCTGAAGCTCTTCGCTGAAACTGTCAGCTTGAACAGACTTCAGAATTACCCTTTCAGCTTTGTTCAGCTCTTCTACGCTGGTCGCCACTCCGCGCGGCTGTCCCAGCGCGCCCTCCTCATGTTGTGCTGTATCTCGGTCACAGCTTCTTGCGCGCTGGCGCACTATCTGGCAGAAGCGCCGTACCACGGCGACAGCTCGTTTGGCTCGAGACCAGCTGGAAAAGTAGTCCAGTCGTTTGGCCAGAGACTGGTTTTGACCATCCTGCTCTGGGACTCCTCGGACTTCAATCTTGAGCACACTTGCTGCCTTCACTTCAGGGTCATCCGATGCCACTTCTGCCTTTGTGACCTGTCCGGGAAGACCTCCGCGCTGCAGAAGGAACGCAGGTCCGTTCCACCACAGACCGTTGGTCTTCAGCTCGTTCAGAGCTGCTCCTCTCGATGCGATGTCAGCTGGGTTATCTTCGGACGCTACGTGTCGCCACTGAGTGGGGCGCGTCGCCTGTCGAATCTGCTGGACGCGGTTCGACACGAAGACATGAAACCTCTTCGATTCGTTGTAGATATAACCCAGCACCACTTTGCTGTCGGTCCAGAACACTTCGTTCAGCTCTGGTATATCTAGCTCTCTTCTTAGGAGACAGCTGCCCTTCACCATCGCCACTGCCGCAGTCAGCTCCAGTCTGGGTACGGTGAGAGGGCGCTTAGGGGTGACTCGTGCTTTGCTGAAGACGAGTGATGATGCCATTTGCCCGTCCTCCGTCATGATCCTTAGATAGCTGCAGTAGCCGTAGCCTTCCAGACTTGCATCACAGAAGTGATGCAACTCGTACAGCTTCACACACTCTTGTCCCAGGCCATGGGCGTAGCACCTGGGCACACTCACTGAGGAGAGCTGCGAGAGGCCGGACTTCCAGCTTTCCCAGCGTTGGGCAGTCTCATCGGCTACTGGATCATCCCAGTCGTATCCATCTGTGCAAAGCTGCTTCAAGATCTTCTTGCCTTGAAGGGTTACCGGCGATACGAAACCCAAAGGGTCGTAGAGGGAGCTCACGAGAGAGAGGATCCCTCTTCTGGTGGGTGGCCGTTCTGGAGTCTCGAAGCTGAAGCCGAGAGTGTCGTCTCTCAGGTTCCACCTGATGCCCAGGGCGTGTTCAAGTGCCGTCATCTCACTCATGACTTCGACTTCTTGCAAGTCCTTGGCGCGACGGTCGGCCGGGAGCTGTAGCAGGACCTCAGACTCGTTAGACGCGAACTTCCGTAGGTTGAAGCCTCCTTTCGCGCAGAGATCGATGGTTCTCTTCGCCAGGTCTACGGCAGACTCCACGTCTGGTACGGATGTGAGGCCGTCGTCCACGTAGAAGTTACGCCGCACGAACTCGGCTGCACTTCTTCCTGATGTACTCTCGTGTCTGTTGGCAGTTTCCTTCAATGCCATCATCGCACACGCTGGCGAGGACGTCGCCCCGAACAGGTGTGTTGTCATGCGGTGCTCTTCTGGGCTAGCGGTGATGTCACCTCGCTTCCACCACAAGAAGCGGAGGAGGTTTCGGTCTTCTGGGTTGACGCCGACCTGGTTAAACATTCCCTGAACATCACAGCTGAGGCCGACGAGCTCCTTTCTGAAACGGATAAGTACGCCGATGAGACTATTTCCGACGTCTGGACCCTGAAGGAGCTGCGAGTTCAGAGACACTCCTTGATGTTGAGCGCTACAATCGAACACCACTCTGAGCTTGGCCTTCTTGGGGTGGCACACCCCATGATGTGGTACGTACCACACATGTCCCTCCTGTTCTTGTTCATCGGCTGGAACGACTTCGGCGTAGCCTTTCTCCAGCATCTCATTCATAAACGCTTCATACTCCTCTCGGAACCTTGGATCTTTCGCCAGTCTGCGTTTCAATCCTTGGAGCCTCTTCAAAGCCACCTCTCTGTTGTCCGGAAAGGAGAACGACTGGTCCCTCAGCGGGAGGGGCATCTCGAAATGGAGGTCCTCTCTCTGATGTATTTTGCTTTGCACGATGTTCATGAACTTCGTGTCGTCTTGTGAGTACGTGTGCTCTTCAAGCGTGTCGCGGAAGTCAGCCTCAAGCAGGTGCATCAGCTGAACAGGGCTCACTTCTCGAGTGTGCACGCGGAAGGCAAAGTGACAGGACGTCCCGTTGCTCCTTTTCGCCTCACTGTCCAGGATACCGACGATACTCCATCCAAGTACTGTCTTCATTGCCCATGGCTCGTGGTCTTCTCCCACGACAACTTCTAGAGGCTTCACTGCCTTCGCGCAGTTGATTCCGATCAAGACTCCAATCTCGGCTTCATCGAAGTATGGAGGCAGTTGCTGTCCAACAGACTTCAAGTGAGGCCACTTCCGTACGCTCTCCTCTTTGGGGATGAGCCCACGATCTGCCGGGATATCGGAGCGCGAGTAGGTCGTAGGCAGGGGTACTTCGTCTCCGCCGTCAACTGCCTGCACCACTAGACCATGGACGGCATGGGCTCGCTCGACTGATTTCCCGGTCATTGTGTTCAGTTGCAGACGGGTTTCCACCCCATCAACGTCCATCTGCTGGCGTACCGACTCCTTGATAAAACAGGCGTCTGACTGCAAGTCCAATAAGGCGTAGGTGACGATCTCTCTATCTGGTCGCTCATCATGACGAAGCCGCACGGGGACGACCATCGAATGGGCGCACACATTTCTCTCTGCAACGCCCACTTGAAGAGAAGTCGCACTTGTCTGGGTACCCTGACTGCTCTTCGTGCTTGATCGCCCACCATCAGAGGCCACCAGAGCGTCATCATGCAGGACGGTAGGATGCAGCTTCCCACACTTAGTGCACCGTTTCTTCACCTTGCACGTACGCCACACATGTCCAGGCTTGAGACAGCCTCTACAGAGACCGTGCTTGAGGACGGCGTCATGTCTCTCACGGACGCTCATCTTGATGAACTTCTGACAGTAGTCCAGAGTGTGGTCTCCATTGCAAATCTTGCACCTCAATCTTGGCACTTGGTCACCATCTGACGGCGCGTTGGTGGCAGCTAAGAATGTTCTTGCTCTTGTCTTGGGCTGAGGCTTCTTCGTGTTCTGCTCAGCTTCGGAGAGACGACTACCAACTGGTCCGCTGGCAACGCGCGCTTCTTTCCTCAAAAAGAGGACAAACTCGCCTAGAGACGGATACCTCGCGCTGGATCCGAGGCGGGGCTCGTAGAGCGCCTCGTCTACCACCCGTTCCCAGCGGTTCACAATGTACTTCGGCAGTAGCTGAAGCATCCGAACGTTCTCGTCAGGGTCACTGAGGACATCCAGACCTGCAACGGTTCTTGAAGCAACTTCGCAGCTCTCCAAGTAGTCGGCGAACTGCCGGAGTCCCCTTGCATCGCCAGGAGCGATCTTCGGCCATGTACGTATCTTCCTTCTGTAGGTCTGTGCAGTTATGAAGTTGCTTCCATAACGCTCTTGCAGTTTCGCCTTCGCCTCACCATAAGCATCCTCTGAGCTCAAGTGCAGAAAACCTTGGATCGCGTTGCGTGCTTCACCGCTCGTGTACCGAGAGAGGAAGTGTAGCCTCTCGGCAGCTGATGAAGTGCGCGCTTCAATGTAGCTTTCAAATGATTTCATCCACAGGTGAAACTGCTCTGCATCACCACGGAACACCTCTGGCTCCAGGGCTGGCAGAGAACTTCTCTTACTCTGCTCTGCAAGTAGCTGAGCCAGCCCTGAGAGAAGCTCTGCTGCAGAAGAGGCGGCTGCTCCCTGCGAAGGTTCTTGACTAGGATTCCTCACATCAGCTTCTCGGTTCGTGTCAGCTGCAGTGCTCAGTCCTGGTGCAGGCTGCTGCTGGTGATCAGATGGAGCAGCAATGTCCTCTACTGTCTGTTCCGGATGGCGGCTGGTTACAGCGTTTCCCTCAGTCTGACCTTCCAGTTCCAGCTTGAACTTGTGTGTCACCTCTGCCTGTCTCTGCTGGATTTCGATCTCGGTTTGCAGTGCCAACTCCTCTTCTTTCCATTGCAACTCTTGGCGTTGACGCTCAAGCTCTTGCCTTGCCTTCAGCATGGACAGTCTTGCTGCCACTTCAGCTTTCTTGCGCTGGTCTTCGATCTGCATCAGCTGAAGGCCAGACTTCGTGCTGACGCCAGAGCCAGCCACTGATGCACTTGCCGTCTTCTGCGGCTGTCTGCTCTTCAAGTAGCCTTCAACCACCATTCTGACTTGGTCGATTTCTTCTAAAACCATCTTGTGGTTCTCTGAGTGTTGCTCCACTTCAGCCCGAGGGAGCAAGTGACACAACTCATATTCTGTCTGTGAGAAGGAGATGTAGTTGTGGATCCACTTCTTTGCCTTCTCTTCTGAGATGTCTGGGTTCACCTCCACTTCGGTACCACTCTGTCGGACCACCTGCCGACTGAGCTGCTTCAGTTCACGTAGCTGATGCTTGTAGGCCTTCGTCTTAAGTTGAGTTTGGTACTCGCGCCCCGCCTCTGTTGGACGGATGGCTCTCCCAGAACTGGACTGCAGAGCGTCCAACGTCTCATCCTCCTTCCCCGAATCAGCCATGTTAGTTCAGGTAAGGTTAGGTAGGTCAGTATCAATAGGTTAGTGCCGAATTGGTTATGTTAAAAACTATCAACTTCACCAAACACTATACTACAAACACAAGTTGTAGGTAACTATACTACAGAAAACGACTCAAAACTGGTGACACATCATAACTGAAGCCACCCCACTACGGGTGGAAGAATTTTTACTGATAGCGCCATCGTCCATCGCCGTTAATCAAACTGCAACTCAAAATAAAATTGGATCGAACTAAAAGGTTTATTGCAGCCTCGATGTGGAGATGGTCAATACTGATGACCAATGACCGTAAAAACTGTCAAAAAACCACACACACACACAACAACATTCGGTCAGATTCAGTCGCAACACATAAACAGGATAACACATACAAAATGACTAGATCAAGACATTGATGATTAAATGAGGATATGAAACAATCATGGACAAACAAAACCAAGTTCAATAAACAAATTAAAGATCAAACAGGCACCTACTTCGTCCGGGTATAATGGGGTCGTGCTCCAATCAGCTGTTAGGCGCGTCTGCTCGTCAGTCGTCTCCAATAAGTACAAATGAGACCAATGATAGCGAGACCAATGATAGCGCCAACCTCAACGTGAGTGACGTCACACCGATGCCTTCAGTTCAATGGCTGGAGAAAAAATAAGTAGCAATTAGTAATCCACATCCATGCGTCGAGCAGCCACGGTCACACTCATCACAATCATGCAACATGCGCCTCATTCCATGGCACCAACATTCATCCCAGTACCGACAGAGCTTTGGCGGTAACATGGCTCCCCATTTTTTTGCCAAAAAAAAATCAAACCTTCTCGCGCGCGTCCCGCGCAAAGGCGATACATCAACACAAAAGGCTCCCTTGACGGGAATAAAGACCTCAGTTCTCCCGACAGCGATTCCACTCAGTCACCCGAACCGCAGAGTGGTAACACGCTCCGAACTGCACGATCTAGAGTCTAGCCCGTCTAG